TCGTACAGAATGTTCTCTTTCATTTGGGCCCCATACTGTTTTTTTTTGCATTGTATTGGATTTTCAAAAGAATTTTTGGATTATTCATATTTTTCAAGTTTCCAAAGTCCTTTTAAAATAATCCTGACGTCAGAGAGAAAAACTAAAAACGCGGCATTACTATATTTGGTCCATGGTTTCGCGAGTATATTGATTTGTGTGTGTGTAAAATTGACTGTCACACGGTGTAATATATACAGGAAAGGGATTTGAATTTATATTTTTTATATTACCTATTTTTGTTTATATTTTTTATTATAGTCGCTTTGTACTTAATTTTTAATAAATCAATATTAGTTAGGAGAAATTTCCACTAGTCATTGAAATGACAAAAAATTGGAGGCAATTAAAAAAATTCCACGTAGAAATGAATTTAATGAATATTTTTTTAACCTAAATATTTTTTAATGCACAACTTTGCCATTTAAATTTTTGTCATTTAATGCAAAGTGGAAATTCAGCATTATAATGAATTTATTAATGGCGGAGTCCTATTGCAAAATGTATTAATACAAATATGTTTTAAAACTATACGTAAGATTTATTGTTATAAGTTATGTGTGTTATTTATTATTACCCTGAAGGTATTCAGCCTCATTGCGTAAGTCGTAAATTAGACTAAATTGTACGACTCGACAACATTGGCATTGCCTACTGTCGTACTGAAAGACCTAAACGACGAAAATAGTCGAAAACTATGCAGTGCTGCCAAGTTTTTCTGTTTTAATACACTAGTCGAGTCGAAATTTTCGATACTATTGGACGCTCGTAAAACGATATGCATTCGACACGACTCTCGCAATGAGGCTGATTATATTCTTTTTCGGTTTTACAAACTATTCTATAACAAGATGTCATTGTTAAAATAAAAAACTGTGTTAAGTAGATTTCATGAATTTTATAAAAAAAAATTGCGATTTCGGGTGATTTTTTGAAAGAAATTGCGTTTTTTTTATTTAAACAATCTAGGCACTCTGCTAGGGCTAGCCATGCGCGTTTTGGTTCCAGAGATATTGATCGTGTAGTGATTACTTCAGTGAAGGGATTGCTACTAAATATTTTTACCAAAATTACAGAGCACAATTTTTTTTTTTTGCCATCAATTGGCGCTTACACATATGTTAGTGTTTGGCCGAGCTTCTCCTCCGATTTGTGGCGTGCGCCTTGATGTTGTCACACAAAGCGAAGGGACCTACAGTTTTACGCCGACTCCGAACGGCGATTGTATTTTTATGAGAAGCTGTTTTTCATGGCAGAAATACACTCGGAGGTTTGCCATTGCCTGCCGAGGGACGACCGCTGCTAAGAAAAAAACCTTTTGAAGGGTTTGAACCCAGGTGCTGCGGAGTGGAAGCGCGCACTGATTACCACTACACCACAGCGGCCGACAATTGGCACTAACCAAGCACTAAATTATGGCATATGTGCCAAACCAACCGGTGAATGATGTAGTGATTACTTCAGAAACCTCTTTCAATCACTCCCGCCGCTAAAGAAGTTTTCACTTCAAAAACAACTTATTTAAAAGGTTCCGATGCGTGCATCAAAGTGAAAATGCATAGTTTTATTTAGCCAAATACGTGTGTGCTCTATTGTACAATATACTATTGACCAATAATCCTCGTGCACCACTTTTTTAATGGTTCTTCAAAAAGTTTAATAACGAAAAATAAATAAGAAAACCCCCAAAAAACCAATATTAGTATATAAGGACCATTTCTTATCTTTTCTGACTAAAATCGGAAAAGTGCCAAATGCAAGAGCGTAAGGAAAATGCGCTCACTAAAAAAGGATAACAGGAAAA